AAGAGAAACTCAAGTGTTCTAGCAGTGTGACCTTTCCTTACTCTATTTTCTATCCTCTGCAGGCTCTGCTTTACAGGGGTAGGGCAACACCATATCTTGCTTTTACCTCTATTAATTTTCCCACTGAGCTAACTTCTATCATAATCCCTTACTATATTTACTAAAGACCCTCAATCATCAAAATTCTATTTAAACTAACACTATTTTTGTATAAAATCATTGCTTCAGTTAAACAGTACAGCTTAGGAGAAAACCATCTTCATAATAATCCACAGGTAAAAATGCCCAGTAGAATGAGATATTTCCAAGAGATAATCCTATCACATTAGGGTCAGTGGAGATTTCCGCACACCCATTCACACCGTGCCAGATACCAGAGAAAAATGGCAGCGGCAAACATGTGAAGACACAGCCGTAGCACGAGACGTTCTGGGGCCCAGGCCCTGGGGCGGGGTGGGGGGGCCTCTTGCCTATCAGAGATTCACCCATTGGAACTTTGCTTCCTGGTGGGCTGACTTCCTGAACCTCAACTGCCACCTGCTGCCCCTCTGACATGCCACTGGCAGCCTCTGATGATGAGGAGCCAAGATTCCTCTACTGGCAATATACAGCCTTCTATTCCCAATCCAGTTCTTTAAAGATATAACCTGTACATTTTAAACTTTAGACATTTTAAATAGTATCAGCCCACTCCTCAATAAATAACCTTCCAAATAACTTTGCAAAAAGGAGGGAGCTGCTTTTCACCGAGTCTTGACAAAACTATGAAACCAAAATCCTACCACAGTATCTTAAAGCAGACAGAGAAAGACCAAACTGTCTTTCTCATTACATGTCTTCTACCTGCTTATTCCGTGTGCCTCTCTTTTTTTTTTTTTTTTTTTTTTTTTTTGGTTTTTCGAGACAGGGTTTCTCCGTGTAGCTTTGCGCCTCTCCTGGAACTCACTTGGTAGCCCAGGCTGGCCTCGAACTCACAGAGATCCGCCTGGCTCTGCCTCCCGAGTGCTGGGATTAAAGGCGTGAGCCACCACCGCCCGGCTCCGTGTGCCTCTCTTATCCGGCTGAAAGGATTATCACCATTCAGAGAAACGTTTGGTCACAAACCTGCTACCGGTATTTAATTTTTTTATGTCCTCCTATCTCTCCAATCTGATAATAAAGTTCTGGTGATCGGTATTGAGTGCCACTCGGCCTCCAGGCATTGCAGGCACAGAGAAGGCGTTCTGCCAAGTGCTTGTATGACGAAGTAATTACACAAATTGATTTCTCTGTGACTCCATGTTTCCTGCTATCCTTTCCTATAGCGTTACTTTAATTTTACTACAAGCCAAGTAAAACAGCTACATGTATGCATATGGACATGTTTAATAGCTAAAGGGACACAGCGACAGATGTCAAATTGTGTGTGAAGATAAGCATGTCCAGGGCTGGAAAGAGAGCTCAGAAGTTAAGAGTAGACACTGCTCTTTCAGTGGCTCACAACAGCCTGTAACTCCAGCCCCAGGAAACTTAACACCTCTTCTGGCCTGCATAGTCACCTACACTCATATGCACAAACCACACACACACATATATGTGTGTGTGTGTGTGTGTGTATATATATATATATATATATAATTTAACAAAGAAAAATATGTCTGCAGAAACTATACAAATTGTTATCTTGAATAGAAACTGCTTTTACTATAAAAACAGACTAAAGCACACATTTGACTGTAAAGCAACCTTTTGTCTCACAGATTAAACTCCTGGACTTAGGGATTTAGGTGGATGGTAGGGCATTGGCCTAGCAAAGGCACGGACACTGGGTTCAGACCCTGAGCACAAGAGGGGAGTTGAGGAAGGGGAAGAAATACAGATTGTGATGATTAAGGTTGTCAACTTGACAGAAATCACCTGGGAGATAATCTCCTATAGACGTGTCCAGAGGCTATGTTGACGTCTTAAATATGGTGGGAAGAGCAAGCATGCATTCACTGCTCTCTTTTGAACGTGGATGTAATATAAGCAGTTGTTTCAAGCTCCTGATTCCTTGACCTCTCAACCAGGATGAACTGTATGTAGCACTGCGAGCTAAATCAAACCCCTTCTTCCTTAAATTGGTGTTGCCAGACTATTTTATCAGAGAAATAGGAAAATAAATAAGACAAAGACAAAATTCGATTAAAATCCTAATAGTATAAGCTGTGCTTGTTTTGATATAGCTCAGTGTTTTCTTTTGCATCAGTTTTACTATTGAAATTATCTTCTTTGGACCTAGGCTCAAACTGAACTGTAAGTCTGAATCTCTGCACCCACAGATCAATGCAGCTCCTCTCAGACCTCCTCAGAGACGTCTCTTGGTGCAATGGACAGTGATGAATGATGAAAGTGCGGGTTTAAATGTCAGTGGATTACTCAGCCACAGTGGAGCGTCCACATTACACACACACACACACACACACACACACACACACACACACACACACATCCCAAGACTCAGGGACAGACCATCATGGAAAAGGGTACAGAATGACTGTAAGATCCAGAAATCAGGGAGGACTAGACTAAAACCATGTCTTCTGTACATAACAGGACTGCGGCATCAGTGAACTCATAGTGGCAGTGGTTGGTTACCTGTACCAAATCTAGCCGGTCAGTGTTCTAGTTTACCAGCCCCCAACCCCGAGCTGAGGAGCAATTGACAGTTGATGGTGTAGGGTGGGAAGAATCAGTTTTCTTTAAGGATATAACCCCTGTAAGTCAATCATATTCCAGGAGCAGGTGGACAACACAAATTAGATTCAATGGGTTATTGTGGTAGTTTGAAAAAAAAAATGTTCCCCAAAAGTATTAGTACTATTAAGAGGTGTGGCCTTGTTGGAGGAAGTGTGTCACTGTGGGGGCAGGCTTTGGGGTCTCTTTTCTCAAGCTTCACTTGTCAGTGTGACAGTCAGTCAACTTGCTGTTGTCTCTGAGTTAAGATGTAGGACTCTCAGCTCCAGCACCACATCTGCCAGCAAGCCACCATGCTCTCCATTCTGATGATAATGGAATGAACCTCTGAAACTATAAGCAAGCCACCTCAATTAAATATTCTTATTTATAAGAGTTGCCATGGTCACGGTGTCTTTTCACAGCAATAAAAAACCCTAACTAAGACAGTTATTTAAAAAAAAAATAAAAAGAGGATGCAAAGTTGAGAGTAGGTGGCAGGGGGTGGGGTTTGGAGTTTGGAGTGGATCTGGAAGAGTTAGGGGAAGAGTTAGGAGTGACTATAATCAAAATTCAATGTATGAAATTTTCCAGCAATTAATAAAACACTGTACTTTAAAAGAAATTATCTTCTCACTCACAGTGTCACTTCATTCAGGAAAAATCGTATCGAGCTAAATCTGAGAAAATATTCACCTACCCAAGAAAATGGATAAATTAACATAAAAATTGATAATTTATAGCCACATTACTATGAAGCATGATCCTTATCAATTAGTCTTATCAGTAAAAACCAAGAGTCAAATATTGGGGTAATAAACTGAAAGGTCAGAAAAACAGAGCAGCAGGCACTACAGAATCCTCAGACGGAAAGGGGGCTGAGATCCTATCTCCACCCACCTTATATTCCTGTCTCTACCTCCCAGTTGTGTTGGGATTAAAGGCCTGAGCCTCCCAAGTGCTGGGATTAAAGGCAGGAGCCACCATTGCCTGACCTCTATGGTTAACTAGTGGCTAGCTCTGCCTTCTGATCTCCAGGGCAGCTTTTTTTTTCAGAACACAAGCAAAATATCACAGAACATTATTACTTTAAGAATCAAGGGAAGGCCGGGCTATGGTGGCAAACATGTTTAATCCCAGCACTCAGAGGCAGAAGCAAGCAGGTCTCTGTAGTTCAAGGTTAGCCTAGTCTACACAGCAAGTTTTAGGATGGCCAGGGTTGCATAATGAGACCCTGTCTAAAATAGTAATAACAACAATAATGATAATAATAATCAAGGAATACAGGGCTTGACCATATTTCTGACCAGTTTCAGGAAAATTAATGTCAACCCAGAGAATAAATAGCATGAAAGCAAACAGCAGCTTAATGGCTAATGTTGAGCTAGCTACAAGGGAAATTAGGTTCAGGGAGAGAGGTCCGAAAAATGCCGTGTGTGGGCAACCTGAATTCCTCAAAGAAGAGAGTACAATATCAGGATGGACCAGTGCTTCTCGGCCTTTGCTTTGCTAGTTATTTTTCTCTTTGCTGGGACAGAATGCCTGATGAAGAAGGGTTTGTTTGGTGGCAGCTCACAGTTTGAAGGTACAGTCAGTCCTCCAGGACAGGGAAGGGTGATGAAGCCAGCTATATTGCATCTGCAATCAAGAAGCCAAGAGACGGCCGGGCGGTGGTGGCGCACGCCTTTAATCCCAGCACTCGGGAGGCAGAGCCAGGCGGATCTCTGTGAGTTCGAGGCCAGTCTGGGCTACCAAGTGAGTTCCAGGAGAGGCGCAAAGCTACACAGAGAAACCCTGTCTCGAAAAACCAAAAAAAAAAAAAAAAAAGAAGCCAAGAGACATAACTATTGATGCTCAGTTTCCTGTCTCCTTTTATACAGTCTGGGATCAGGGATGGTGCCCCTCACATTTAGGGTTAGTTTTCTCACCTTCATTAACCCAATCTAGACACTCCCTCAAAGGCGTACCCAGACTGGGTAGATGGCTCACTTGGTAAAAGTGCTTGGCACACAAGCCTGACTAATTGAGTTTGATCTCTGGAGTACACATAAAATGCTAAATACAGTGGCATGCATCTGTAATCCCAGCACTCCTACGGTGAGATGGGATGCAGAGAAAGGAGAATTGCCTTGAAGCTGAGGGACCAGCCAGTGGAAGTTTGCAGTGTGAAAGAAACAGCAAGAGCAGCCTCACCTCAAAACACGGTGGAAGAAGAGAATAAACTCCCAATAGTTGTCTTCTGACTGTTGGACCCCAAAGGTTTAGGGTCTCGAGTGGGTGCCCCAAGAACCTAGACTCCAGTCTAGTTGATGCAATAGCAAGAGGTTTATTAGCAACTGTACAGACAGGCAAACTCTGCTCCTAAGAGCAAGAGTCGCCTCTTACTGCAGCCACATGGGGGTTTTTAAAGGAAAAGCCCACAAAAACCACAAGATTACAATTCCCATACAATTTTGTTTCAATTGATTTATGTCTAGAGGCTAATTTCATAAGATCATAGTCTGGTCACAGAGTGATCACAGAGGGGGTACAGTTACATCAGTGTGTACATCTTTCCCGAAACCTCAAGGAGGGTATCAGGGCGGGAGTGGAGTTTACACAAAGGTCACAGTGGTCCTTCCTGGAACACTTGCAACTATCCCAGTCACAGTTGAGCGCATCTCTTAACAGAAATCTTTTTACATTGTTATATTGTTATAGGGGTGATTGAGTAGTGGCTGAGTTAGGTGACCCTTGGAATTAGTTTTCTTTTTAGTTCCTTATTTCCTGGGGCTTGGGGGTGTAAGCCTGAAGGGCTAGGGTCTTTCACTGACCTCCGTACATACACCCTGGCATGCGCATGCCTGATCTCATATGTACACATCATACATACCAATTATTATTATTATTATAAATTATTAAAAATAAAGACCTGCTCAGAGATTTCCTAGGTGATTCTAGATCTGTAAAGCTGACAGTCTCACACTTGCTAAAAGTAGAAACCTGGGAAGTTTTGAACAATACCAACATTTGTCACTTACCCCCCAGAGATTCTGGTTTGCTTTGCCTGGGATGTTCCTAGTCATTGGTCACTCTATAAGTACTCCACATGACTGCACTGCATATCCAGAGTTGAGACCCATTTGGTTAAGTGATAGATAATTACAAATAAGCTTTCTAAGAACATGCATACATTTTGCTGTGTTCATTCCAGTACTAATTAAGACATTTGAACTGCCCATAAGTGTGTCTTTTTTGTTTGTTTGTTTGTTGTTTTTTGAGACAGAGTTTCTCCATGTAGTTTTGGTTCCTGTCCTGGATCTCGCTCTGTAGACCAGGCTGGCCTTGAACTCACAGAGATCCACATGGCTCTGCCTCCCGGGTGCTTGGATTAAAGGCATGCACCACCGCTGCCCGGCATCATTCTTTATATAAACTTAAATGTTAACACCTGTAGTTCACATGTCTGTAAAGTCCCAAAGAAATCAATCTATCAAATTTATACAGTTTCATCAGAGCCAAAATCGTAACCATCCTGTAAATAACGCTAGATCTCCAAGCCTAGTGCACCTCCTTGGACTGTTAAGACCTAATGTGATAAGCGCTAAATCAATCTAATTTAGTGGGGGGGGGGGGAGAATCAGGAGAAAATGGTATGTGGCCCAGTGCTACAGCACTTACCTAGCTTTTGAGATACTCTGGGTTTTTTTCCTCAGCACCACAGAAAGGGGAGAAGTGATAGGCAGTGTATTTAATCAACTAATAATTGAAGATGACTAGAAAAGATTCCATATCAAGCATAATTTAAGCCTCCGTGTCACCAAGACTTGGTTTGCCCCTCTTGCCCATGCTCCAGTCCTCATCTTTCCTTTCTTCTGATGGTGATGACTTTTTCTCCACCAGTGCACATCTTCCAAGTGGTAGGAACTCCAACTTCACATCCTCACAGCATTTTGACCCAAAAGGCAACAGGGGATCTTCACGACTGAAATCAGGATTAAAAAATCCCAGGCAAGGGCCTGGAAGACTCTGACTAGATCATAAGCAAATCCTTTAAAACAACTAAAAGGAGAATCTTCCCATAAATGTAACACCAGACAATCAGTCTGAGTTTTAAAAGGTTGCTATGAATGAACATTTGGAAGAAGCAGAGAGAAGACCAAGTGGGAAAGTTCTAGGTGTCTCCTAACCAGAGATACAGTGGTTGGATTAAACAGAGACCACTGTCTAATTGTCTAAAAGGCAATGGCAGACTTTTGCTTAGAGAGGTGAGATTGAGTTGTGTTTTGAAAGCGAAAATACCCTTAGAATGACTTCAGCAAAGGAAGGAAGAGAAGGTCATAACAGGGCTCCTGACCTTAATAGGCTCTAGACCTTAGCACAACTGACTCCATGATGGAAGTGCCATTCTGGCTGTAAAACTCAGCATGTAGACAGCATACTAGCCAAAATGAAAACAAAGACCTAATCCATCAAAGTCCATTGATCTGGGAAAGTCTCTAAATATACTTACCTTGTTTTTTGGCTTCTGTAGTTGGCTAACTGTTCTTGTTAACTGAAGTATGTCAACCCAGGGCATGGTTTTTTTGTGATTAAAAGCTCACCATCAGAAAGAGCCGTGTAGTCACTGGGATTCAAGACACCCAGTGTAGTCAGTGGTAAGCTAATAAAGACTTTCTATTGGCTTAACTTCATGTCCAAGCAGTCTTCTCTGGTGACTACCACACAACAATGGTCCTATATGTTTTAGAAAGATTATTGAAGAGAATGAGCTTTAAAAATAGAAACCAGTTAGGAGATAGAAGTTCTCTATAACTAAACCTGTGATAAAGCAATGGAAACACAAAAAGAAACATGGAATGGACTGAAGGGGATTGAAGAGTGTGTTGTACAGTAACTGAATTGGATATGGAATGTCCCAAAAGGGAGACGATTCAGAATGACTCATTGTTTTCTGACCTGGGAAACTAAGAGGTTAGTGACATTGTTAACTACCAGAATTTAGAAATAATAGCAAGTTTGGAAGGGGTAGATTATAAATTTAGTTCAACACATTAAATAGTCAACATATTTATAGTTCAACATATAAAAAAAATAGTCATCTATGTAACAAAACCGGAGACCAGTTCACACTGCAAAGCTAACTCTAAGATCAACCTAACTCTGAAGTCATGGCATTGGACAACTATTGCATAAACATAAAGCATCAGAACTCAAGGCAAAAGTACAAGTAGGAGAGTGAAGGGGGAAAAAACATTTCAAATAAATAAGAAATGGCACATTCACAAATAATGCCCAGTAGAACAGTATAAGGGGTGTTTTGCTCACCTGGCATGAGCCCCCAAAGAGGTCTAGCATGAGTGAGAGTGAAGACTTTTTTTTTTTTTTTGGTTTTTCGAGACAGGGTTTCTCTGTGTAGCTTTGCGCCTTTCCTGGAACTCACTTGGTAGCCCAGGCTGGCCTCGAACTCACAGAGATCCGCCTGGCTCTGCCTCCCAAGTGCTGGGATTAAAGGCGTGCGCCACCACCGCCCGGCGAGAGTGAAGACTTTTATGTGGTGGTAAGACAAAATGCATTCTGACCTCACCCCTTCCCAGATCTAATTCAGGAGCTCTGGAGAAGAGCATTAGTCTCTTGGTGAGGACAGAAGGAGAGGGGGCCTTGGAATTTTGAGGTATCAACCAAGGTGACCAGTCGTTCCACTATCCAGCTTCTTAAAAATCATAACTAAATGTGAGAGTTGTGGAAACAGTGGATACATATGTACCACAATTTCAGTTTCCACCCATCTGTTAATAGACATCCAGTCTGGTTCCATTTCTTTGCTATTGCGAATAGAGTGATAAACACAGATGAGCAGGTGTCTCTGTAGTAGAACATGGAATCCTTTGGGTCTACGTCCAGGAGTGATATAGCTGGGTAACATGGAAATCCTAGTTTTAAGTTGTTGAGAGTATCCTCCTTGCAAGATCTGGAGGAAAGGGAAGTGTTCCTTCTTTGGCTTCTGCTCCCCTGCTAACGGGAAATGCTGCTTGTACCTCCACTGGAACCTCTGCTACAGTGGAAAAGAGATTGGGATGCTGGAGAAGCAAAATGGGAGAAAGTTCAGCATAGGAAAGCTTCTTAAATTGCTCCCACTTGCCTCCCCTTGTCCCCTCAAAAATCTTTGTGGACCTATATATGTACGTTTTTGAAATAGGCACACAAATCAAACATCTACTGGTAATAAATCATAAAGAAATTTATTTTAAAACAATTCTTTGGTATATATATAATTTTACTATATAATAAAGATCAAAGAAAATTGGCATAATAATATGATTTTTTAACAAAGAATTAAATCAGGTGACTATTTGATACCATAGTATACAGAACATCTTCAAATATTTTTCAAGGTTGATAACCTGATTTTATAATTGTTAATATCAAGAAAACCACTTTATGTAAATATGTGGTTATAAAATTGTAAAATATATGTAGGAAAACTTCATAAATTGTTAGAAATTCTGTCCTAATCCCATTTAGTAATTTTTATCTATGAAACTCAAGTCAGCGACTCAAACAGTAACTTTTTGTATAAGGCACATGTGTATGTATGAGTGTGTGGTATATGTATGTGTTCATGCATATGCATGCATGTACAAGTATTGTGTGTAAACCAAAGGTGTCCTCAATTGCTCCCAATCGTGTTGATGTGTGTGTAAGTGTGTATATGACCCAGAGGTGTCTTCAGTTGCTCTCCAATTTATTTTGAGACAAAGTCTTTTATCCCACCTGGTGTTCAATGCTTTGACTAGGCTTTCTGACTAATGAGTACCAGATACTGTCTCAGCATCCCTCTCCCCAGCACAATGGATTTTTTTAACACGACTATAAAGAAAAAAAATGATATTATAAAAATTTCAAGGAAATGGATGACTCTTGAAAATATCATAATAAAGGTGGTGTGGTGGTTTTAATGAGAATGGCCCACAGAGGCTCAGATGTTTGAACGCTTGGTCCCAAGTTGATGGTACTATTTGGGAAGAATTAGGAGATGTGACCCTGTTGAAGGAGGTGTGTCACAGGGGGTGGACTTTGAGGTTTCAATAGTCTACACCATTCCAGGCTAGCTCTCTCTCTCTCTGCCTCATGCTTATGGATCAAGATGTAAGCTCTCAGCTACTGTTTCAATACTCTGCCTGCCTACCTGCTGTCATGCTCCCCACCATGGTCGTCATGGTCCTACCCCTTTGATACTGTAAGGCCCCAAATAAACTCTTTCTTCCATATGTTGCCTTGGTCATGGTGTCTTATCAGAACAATAGAAAAGTAACTAAGACAGGAGATAACCCAGATTTTTAAAAAGGGGGAAAAAAACATGTGTTTCCTCTCATATGTGAATTCTGGATTGTAATGTGTATATGTGTGTATATAGAAGGGTGTAAACATAGGTAAAGCCCAAAAAACTAGAAAAGAGATCAAAAGAGGAAGGGAGGAGGGCAAAAGGAGATTGGAACCATCGAGACATCCAGTCTCACGGACTGAGCAAGTCTGGATTCTCAGCCTGTGTGAGACAGCCATTATTAGAATATCCAGACAGTGTGTGTGTAATATATATGTGTCCATAATGTACACATATATAATCAGTTCTGTATAGGTATATGTAGTATACATATATATAATATATATAATCAGTTCTGTTCATCTAGAAAATCCCTACAAATATTATCATACCTAATACCTTGTATGCTAATTTTTAATTGATTTAATTTAAATAAAAAAGAAAGTATGAGTACCCATTGGCTCTGGGTCCTATCCATTTGTCCCTGACTTCTAGTCTTTCTCTTCCATTGTTCATGTTCATTCTAATGAAAGCAGTGAATTTATCTTCTGTCTTTTTAAATCTTCCAGCAGCTATGAATCCTCATTGTAGAAAACTTGTTTTGCATTTGAGGAAAAGAACTGGGTTTGAGATGACCGCCACACCAGGTAAGACAACAGACAAGCCTCCTGGACTCTCTGGACCTATGAGTGAAAGAATTGAGAGTCTCTTTGCATCATAGAATTGTGAGGAAACAATAGACGCTGCACATAGCCAAGAGCCATAAACCACAAAGCTTTATCAATATTAAAACATTATACTTGGTGGCTAAAGTTTCCATTGACTCCATCACAGACCCCCCTTCCCTACATTAACCTTCAACTTTAATCAGATGTCTCCAATCTAACATTAGCACAGACTGACTGAGTTCCTATTTTATGTGAAGCTCTGTGCTAGGAGCTAAAGATCCTGAAGAGAAGGAGCTGGAACTGCATGAGCTCAGCTGTGCTATTGAACACAACAGAATAGAACAACCTTGAGACATGTTGTGCACAGTAATGTCTGACGTTCTTATCGTCTAAGGTTTTTCCTTCTCTTTTTCTCCTTGTATTCTTTAACTTATTAAACTTCATGAATGCCAAGAGAGCAAACATGTTCTCCATTACTGAAATAGTCATAGAACATCATGTCCTCAGAGACAAAAACTCTTCCTGCTTATCAGTCCATTTAAAGTTATAGCATGATATAACAACAAATTATATTTCTTAGTTATAAATGGAAAAGTTGACAGATTCTCAAGACTCTAATTCTTCCCTTAATTACACAGCTCCTTCCCTACCCACAAGAGTCTATTCCTCATCCTAAAGTCCTAAGATTTCCCTACAGTGGTGAATGTGTGTAAGAGCAAAGCTTCTCTGCCTAGACTAGGGTTAGACTCTTTGTGCATCCTCTGTATTCCACCATATTGTCTGATGGGCTTACCAAGGATCCCCTGCCCAAGTGAAAGAGTATATAGAGCTGGTCCTTTTTTCCTAGTCATGTTGGAGAAAGAGGAGAATGGGAAAAAAGGGAAAGAAACAGAATGGGAGAGGGAGCCATCCAATATAGATCACCACCTCAGAAACCATAATGTGAAATAACCACTTCTAATCTCTTTATAGCCCTCTGAAAAGTGTGCCTTCATGCTGGGTTTAGCCTTGAGGTCTAGTTACGTGTCCCTGAGGACTACATTGTAGACTGAGTTCCTTTTCTCTGGAAGAAGAGAAGGACAGATATGAGTTCCCTGAGCCACATAGTCTAATATTTCCTACCCATGAGATTTGAACAAGTCAAGCTGCCTTGTTTGGCCTCAAGTTTCGTTACCTGTCAAATAAAGGGAACTGGATTGTTAGTCAGCTTTCCATTGCTATGAAAATAAAATAACTGATAAAATCAACTGAAATGAGGAAGGATTTTTGTCTCAAGATTTCAGAGATTTCAGTATGTCGTCCCTTGGTCCCATCAATTTGGGCCTGGGGCCAAGCATCATGGTGGAAAGTGAGAGGTTAACCAAAGATGCTCATATCATGGCAGAGGGAAAGGAGGGAAGGAAGAAATGATGAGCTTATCAATAATGTTATCCACTGATAAGGCCAAGAGTCCTCATAAATCATTCACTCTCCAAGGGTTCAACCCCTAAACACTGCCATATTAAGGACTATGCCTTCAACCCATAAACCAACTATACCAGTTGAACTAGATGGTTCCCATGTTCCTCTCCTTTCTAAAATAAGTTTTAAAGATATCTTGAATTAAGCTTTGTATTTTCAGTGGCATTAGAAACTGATAAATTGTTTCTTAAAAAAATCACTGATATGAATTATGTATGGTCATTCTTCATTTGTCATTGTATTTCAGGAGCTGATTCCCAGCCAGAGCTAGGCTGCATGCCAGGATCAATGATGTGTGGAGAAAGGGCTTCTAGATGAGACGCATGACCGTATTTGTACAAAACAGAATGGATAGATTCTACGGTTCATTTTAACACTGTTCACAAACATTTATTCCCTCTTTGTAAGAGGGTCCCATTTGACTTCCCTTGCCAAGCAGGGCATTCTTCCCACTGCACTGGCACTGAACTTGGCTATGTTGATTATTTAGCCAACAGCATGTATAAAAATATGACCTAGTTCATATCTAAGTGAAAATATTAAATTTGTTTGATTCAGCCAGATCTCTTTCTGCCATGACCTTGTGCCACAAGAAGGGCACATCACTATTTCTTCAGCCAGAGTCACAGAATCAAATGACACACAAGGTGACTGAATTTGACATGCAATCTTAAGCAGAAGCATCACTAGGAAGCCGCAGCTGCAAACATATAAAGTAAGAGGTAAATCTTGTTAGTACAAGCCACGGATACTGAGGTGGCTTACTGTTATGCAACAGCACTTACTACAGCTCCCATAATAAAGCATGTTAAAGGTATGCTTGCCTGGTGACTGAGCAGCTGACCCATTCACTCATTAGCTCTCTGTTTCTGGCCTCACTTCTCAAAATATTCCACTAAAACGTTATTTGGTTACCCTCTCCACCCTCTTCCCCTTCATCAAATCTTTAACTCACTCCTGTTAGGCTTTTATACCACCCATCAAATTGAACAGTAAGTTCTCCTTTGCCAAACCTGATGGGCAATCATTTTATTCCATGTCTGTGCAGAATGGACACAGTTGACAATCTCTTTGTTTAACATTTGTTCTCTCCTTCACAGTCTCCCTGTTGAGTCCAGATTGACCCTGGAACTCGAAACTCTTTGACCACACTCTTCCAAGTGCAGGATCATAGGTGTGCACCATAATGTTTGGCTTCAGCATCTTCTTTACATGGCTTCAGAAATTTCAGCCTCTTTTTCTTCCCATATTCCCTTTCCCATCATCCCATTTTCCTCCTGTCTTTCTTGGTACCCTCTTCCTAAGGTGGAAGATTTACAGCAGGCAGTTAGAGGTGAGGAAGAGACATGTGAATCATCTTCGGATGCTTACTGCCACTCAGATGTGACATATGAATGAGAAGAGCTACATTAGGCAAACTCTCGGCATACTTCACAGTGCCTAGGACCTGTGTCACCAAATGTGCCAACCTCAGTTCAATACCTGGAACTCACATAATGGAAAGAGAGAACAAACTCCTGCAAGTTGGCCTCTGACTTCCAGATGCCCACTGTGGCACATGTGTACACACATACATACAGATACACACTAAATAAATACTATGTTTTTTTAAAAAAAATAATAATAAATTTGCAGACTGATTTGATATGATTTCAAGATCTACAAAACTACAATAATCAAGACTATGAAATCAGCACAAATGAAGATGTGTAATTTTTTTTTTTTTTTTTTTTTTTTTTTTTGGTTTTTCGAGACAGGGCTTCTCTGTGTAGCTTTGCGCCTTTCCTGGGACTCACTTGGTAGCCCAGGCTGGCCTCGAACTCACAGAGATCCGCCTGGCTCTGCCTCCCGAGTGCTGGGATTAAAGGCGTGCGCCACCACCGCCCGGCTAGATGTGTAATTTAGTAGAACAAAACTGAGTATCCACAAACAGATTTGTGTATCTTTGTCAGTAGTGGTTTTTTTTTTTTAACAAAGCAGCTCAATATCAGAAAAAAATATTTATCAATAATTAGTGTTATTATCAACTGTTTAGCACTTGAAAAAATGAGCATAGATCTTTACATCACACCATATACAAAAAAATGATTAGCAATGGATAACAAACCATATTTTAGAGTCAAACTACCAAGACTTTAGAATAAGAAAAAATTATAATGACCTTAAGTTTATTATCTTCTACACATGGACATGGAACTTTATAGAAGCTCTTAAATGACAAATTCAATTTAGTAGTTAAGTGATTCTCTGAGCTTTCTGTTTTGTTTTGGAACACTGATAATTTGTGGTTTAGAAGAACAAAATTCCCTCCCTTCTCTCTTTTTCCTTTTCTCTCTTTTTCAGTACCTGGAATGGAACCCAGGGCCTCCTGCATGCTAGACAAGCACTCTACTCTAAAACAAATATACTGTAGATTTTTTTTTTAGTGACATAAAAATCACAAACTATAGCAGAAAAAAACAAATTGGATTTTGTCAACTAGACTTCAATATTTTAAACCTTTTTCTGCTCAAAACCCATTACTGTACAACTTTAAAGAAATAGAACATGCACTAGTAGAGTGCTTACCTAACATGCATTGGGCTCTGGGCTCCATCCCAGGTAACCTCAAAAGAAAGAGAAGCATGGGGAGAGGGGGAGAAAGAAAGGTCTGTTCTCCTAAACCACAAATTATCAAATGTTCCAAAACAAAACAGAAAACTCAAAGAATCAGTTAACTACTAAATTGAATTTGTCGTTTAAGAATTTCCAAAAAGTTCATGGTCCAAGCACAGATTACCCTAACAAATTCCACCAAATACTTTCTGGCTTGATAGACATCAACTTTACACAAGCTCTTCAAGAAACCTGAACAGGGGGCTGGAGAGATGGCTCAAAGGTTAAGAGCACCGGTTGCTCTTCCAGAGGTCCTGAGTTCAATTCCCAGCAACCACATGGTGGCTCACAACCATCTGTAATGAGATCTGGTGCCCTCTTCTAGCGTGCAGGCATATATGCAGGCAGAACACCGTATACATAATAAATAAATCTGGAAGGAAGGAAGGAAGGAAGGAAGGAAGGAAGGAAGGAAGGAAGGAAGGAAGGAAGGAAGGAACCGAGGAACCTGAACAAAAAGGAACATTTTTGAACTCATGGTATGAGGCAGTATTACCATGGGACCAAAAATGGACAGGCAGTCCAGAGAGATCCAGAGGCTTAAAAAAATCCTAAACCAGGAGTTGATTAAATGTGTAAAGGTGATTGCTACCAAGCCTGATGACCTGAGTTGGATAACCTGAGTTTGATCCCCAGGACCTACATGGTAGAAGGAGACAAATTGTCCTCTGACCGCTACATGCATATTCTGGCATATACACACACTACATAAACAAGTAAATAAGTCAAATTTCTAAAATTTTCAACAAGGAGGAAATTCTTATACACCGTTGATGGATGAAATGTAAACTAGAACAGACACTTTGGAAATAAGTCTGGAGGTGTCTCAAAAACCAGAAATAGAAATGGCACATGGCCCAGCTATAGCACTACTGGGCATAGAGCAAATAGACTTTATAGCCTACTTGTCTTAGTTAAGAGTTACAATTTCTGTGACGAAACACCATGACTGAAAGCAGCTTGGAGAGGAAAGGGTTTGTTTCACTCACAGTTCCATATAACAGTTCATCATCAAAAGCAGGCAGGGCAGGAACTCAAGCAGGGCAGGAACCTGGAGCCAGGAGCTGATACAGAGGCCATGAGGGAGTAGCGCTTACTGGCTTGCTCATCATGGCTTGCTCATCCTGCTTTCTGACTCGGGACCACCAGGCTAGGGACAGCACCAACCACGATGGACTGGGCCTTCCCCCCTCAATCATTAATTAAGATAATGCCCTACAGGCTCGCTTACAGCCCGAACTTAGAGAGAGATTTTCTTAATCGAGGTGCCTTCCTCTCAGATAACTCTAGTTTGTGTCAAGTTGACAGAATTAGCCAGCACACTACTACAGAGATACTTACACATCCATGCTCATTGCTGATCTATTCATAGGAGCTAGAAAATGGAAACAGCCGGATGCCCATCAACAGATGAATGGAGAAGAAAAATGTGGTACATATACACAATGGAATATTCCCCAGCTGTAAAGAAAAATGAAATCGTGAAATTTGCAAGTAAATGGATAGAACTGAACAAAACTATATTGAATGAGGCAACCCAGGCCCAGAAAGGCAAATACTGATACTTTAATAGTCGTTCACATGTGGATCCCAGCTCTAAATCTTTTCTTTTGTGTTTAACTTGGAGCACAAGGGAACCCAGGAAACTAAAAATGGGCCTTTTGAGGGAGGAACATTGTTATATTTTTGGTTGTGAGCCTAGCCTTAACGGCTGAGTCATCTCTCCAGCCCTTGGGGGGAACATTGTTCAAGAAGAGGAAATGGTAGATTATAGGTAGATCAACAGTAGCGTGTGGAATACTGGCAGTGGAAAGGCTTGAGCAAAGAGGGACATGGGAATGTGGAGGATATCAGGCCATGAAACAAGGGGTTGAGCCCAAGTAAGGAGGTATAAAAGTCTACTGTTTCACAATGCAAGTTAAAAAAAAAAATAAGTACCTGGGGGAACAGTAGAAAAGAAGAGAGAATACTGGGGGATTAAAGGATTAAGCAGGCAGAGATGGAGTGGGTGGGAGCAAAAAGAGAAAGTGGAAGGAGGTGAGTTCACCAAAACTAAGGATGTATGAAAAAGCCTTATGGAAATCCACTAGCTACAAGATCGTTTCAAAGTACAACTTCAAACAAAGCAGAGCTTACATGGAATTCCTAGAATATATGGGTTACTGAGGGAAAATGGCAGTGCAAGGCATCGGATGCCTTCTTAGGAGTTGTTGGTCCGAGAGGTCCTGGAGATCTCCAAAGCAACACAGGCAATGGCCATTACCCTTCGTTGGCTGCTGTGACTATGTCCTAGGACCCTGCTGCTGAAGACACATTATACTCTACTGCAGGCCATACAGAAATCAATCTCGAGCCGACAAGGAAACCTCTTGTCTGCTAGCTTGCTCCCGTGGTGCTGAAAGGTGTTATGGAGACTAAAAAAAGATATCCATACATGCTGCAATACTGACCCGCCAGGCAGGGTGTGCCCCCTGGCACAAAGCATTATGGAAAAGCTAATTCATTCTGGTCAGATCTGAGGCCTGCTTCCTGCCTCGCACTGCAATCGTGATCAAAAGCTCTTGGGTAGGGAGGTCCTAGGTCCTAGGAATAGGACCTACTGTTGTTATGTTGTTAAACGGTGTTCTCGTTTGCTTTCAGCTGCTGTGATAAAACACCATGACCAAAAGCAACTTGGGGGGTGGGGGAAGTGTTGGTTTGTTTGGCAAATAGATTGCGGTCCACCATCAAGTGAAGCCAAGGCAGGGATTGAAATCTGAAAGCAGTAACCGGGAGGCAGGAATTGAAGCAGTGGCCACAGAGGAACATTAATTACTGGTTTTCTCCCCTAGCTTGCTTGGTTTTCTTACACAAACCAGGACCACCTGCCCAGGGATGGCACTGCCCACAGTCAGCAGTGCCCTCCCATATCAATTATTAATCAAGACAAGTGTCCCACAGACATACCCACAGGCCAATGTAATAGAGGCGATTCAACTTAGGCTCCCTCTTCCCTGATGTGCCAGGTTGGAAACCAAGATTAGCCACCCCAAACGGTTATACTGTCAAACTGCCATCTAAGTATTTGTGTTCATAGTCATAGAGCAGGGCTGCTCCCAACCTTGGTCAGAGAAGCTTCTTTTTGCAGTAGGCAGCCATCAATGAAGGGACCTGAAACTGGCCAACGTGGTGAGAACGAGATACTGAGTGCTCAGCCCTAAATGGGACATATAAATTAAACTTCTCACCACCAACACTCAGAAACAATGGAAAGAATGTAAGAGCTGGTGGATGAAAGAAGTGTCATGAAATGCTGTCTTCTGAACACGGCATGGCCCTTGCACCCATGAATTCACAATAGCTGTGATGGCCTGCATAAGACTAAATTCCTAGCATAGATCAAGTAGATCTCTAGGCCCACCACTTACTGAGTAGCTATTGGCTGGGAGAGGAACAATCTTTTGGGGGGACATTCCTACTGGTAGATTTCTCATGTTCCAGTGGATGGCCCCATACTCATGAACATATAGATGGGCAGCGCTAGCCAAACTCAGATTATCAAAAGAAGATATGAAGTTGAAATGGAGGTATGATGGGGTATGAGGAGTTGTGGGGGACATGGGGAGTACATATGATCATGTTTCATTGTATATATGTATGAAATTCTCCAAAAAAAAGATTTTAAAATTCTCAACAAAATATCAACAAATAAAATCTAAGCATATACTTAAGCCAGCCTGGACTACAGAGTGAGTTCTAGGAAAGGCGCAAAGCTACACAGAGAAACCCTGTCTCAAAAAACCAAAAAAAAAAAAAAAAAAAAAAAAAAGAATATACTTAAAAAGAGATTATTTGGGTGGCTCAAATCTAATCACAACCCCACTAAAAGCAGAATTTTTTTTTAAGGTGGCATAAATAAATATCAGATTCGAAGAACAAAAAGGAGCAAGCCTGCTAATGCAAGACTTTAATTTCAGCAGCTCAGGAGGCTGAGGCAGAAGGATTACAAAATCAAGGCCCACCTGGGCAACTCAGTGAAACTGTCTCAATTTTCTTTTCTTTTTTTTTTTTTTTGGGGGGGGGGGGTCATTCAGTGGCAGAGCACTTGCCTAACAAGTTCAGTCCCCAGTTTAAAAAAAAAAAGTAAAAGAGACTGTGTGCTATTTTGGCTTTGAAGCTGGAGGGCCAAGTGCAAGGACTAGACAGGAACTTTTAGGTACAAGAGACTCCCAGGCAACTGCCCATGCAACAGGCCGCATGGAACCGTGCTGAATTCTGCTCCACCAGAGAGAGGATTTTAAAACGGCACTCCTCCCAACAGCCTTCAGGTAAAAGCCCAGCCCAGCTACCACCACAAACAATAAACTAGTCTGACCGCTTGAAGCGGACCTAAGAAAATTGAACAATGGGGGCTAGTTTAAGCCATCGTGGTTGTGGTTATTTGTTATATCAGCAACAGAAAACTACCAATAAATGAATGAAATCTGGTTTACCCATATAATCCAATACTGTACACCAGACCACACAATGGAAAAATCTCAGAATAATTATACTCAGTGATAAAAGACAAAAAAAAAAGTATGTGATGCATGGCTTCATCACTGTAAAGTTCTTAAAATGTACATAAGGAAAGGAAGCAGATCCCAGGTCTGAGAATGGAACGGGAGTGATTAAGGAGAGATGGGCTATAAAGGTCCATTATAAAATTCAGGTTGCAATGAGTACTCTATAACTGAATTAAGTTGTTTATTATCTCTTATGAAACGGTGACTTCATCGATATACACATAAATTAAAACTCAAAAACCACACATTTATTTATGTTAAATGGATAATATAGAAAACAAGACTTTAATTCATCAGTAAATTTAGTATCGTTTTATTAAATTGGCAAAATCTTACCCATTCATATCTCAATGTTTTAAAGCTTACAGTCTAAAGGACGGTGTGACTTTGTAACTCTTTGGAACCAGCACATTCTAGCTGCCTAGTGTCCTTAGCAACATCACAACCACTAACTAGCGTGAGTTGGAAAATAGAAGTCAATCAAGGCGCAGTTCTGGCCCTCCACCTCCCATCTTACTTAGTGATAGCTACACTTTGCTCCACAGCTCTGGGTCTGACTATGCTGCACTGTCAGATGTAGTTGGAATTCTCTTTGAGCCGCCAACCAGCTCCCAAATAAAGACATGGAGACTTATTAATTACGAATGCTCAGACTTAGCTTAGGCTTGTCCCACTAGCTTTTTTAACTTAATTTAACTTGTTTCTATTCATCTACATTTTGCCCCAGGGCTTTTTACCTTTCTTTCATTCTGTTTGTTCTACTTTCCTGCTGCCTCCATATCTGGCTGGCTGGCCCCTGACGTCTCCCTGCTGTCTCCTTTTCTTTCTCCCTTGACCCTAAATTCCTTTTCCTGCTTACTCTCCCTGCCCAGAAGTCCTGCCTATACCTCCTCCCCCACTATTGACTATTCAGCTTTTTATTAGATCAATCAGGTGCCTTAGTCAGGCAAGGTAAAACAGCAACACATCTTTACATAGTTAAACAAATGCAACACATCTTTACATAGTTAAATATTCCACAACATAAACAAAAGCAACACATCTTTACATAATTTTAAACAAATGCAACACATCTTTGCATAGTTAAACAAATATTCCACAACATAAACAAAAGCAACACATCTTTACATAATTTTAAACAAATGCAACACATCTTTGCATAGCTAAACAAATATTCCGCAACAGTGAGACGTTGTACTAATTCCTTGCATGAGTCATGTCTATTTAGTTAAGTCCAAAGATACAGTAAGGCCAAAGTCTGCTCATTCGGTCATTATATATTGGCAGTTTCAATGTAGTATGATGGAGGGGGGAAAAATGTTCCCTCTATCTGTATAAAATCTTGGCTGGGGCCTCTGTAATAAAAGACAGATTAGCAAGCGAAAAACAAACAGAAGCTTATTAACATGTGTATTTCAAATGCGCATGGGAATAAGAAATTCCCACAGTGGCTTAGCAATCTGGCTTAGAACAGTAACTTCAACAGAGAATAATAAACCAGAGAAAAGCTAAAACAAAAGTCGTCTACCCCAGGACACGTGAAGAAGCTGGTGCTAACGGTAGGAAGGTGATGCCAGTGTTATTTGGGGGTTCCTCTGGGGTCCCCTGGCTGATGAGGATAGAGAGTACCCTCAGGTTGGTGATGAACTTCAATCCTGTCTTTCCCTGTAGAGAAGGAACCACCCTCTTTGTGAACTCGCGTCCTGCTTTTTAACAGATGAGGTCAAGGCACGGGGAGCCCTGTCTTGTTTCGGCTTCTCAGCCTCCGGCTAAAAATCAACTCAATCCAAAGCATACTTTGGCACGGCAGATTGGGCTGCCATGCATCGGGATGAGAGGCCACTGAACACTGGTCCTGCCTCCCATTATCTACTGGGGAGGGAGAAAAATGACCTGGTCTGTTCCAAAGGCGTCCCTGGGAGCTCCTCTCTCTCCTCGTCTCGCAGTGGTGATGACCCAGGAAAACAGCAACTCACCAAATGCAGATAAACAGACTCAAGAGCAAGTGCAAAGATCATCCAGAAGCAAAATACCAAGTACATCAAAGCAAACTGGTGCTGGGAAAGGCAGGCGAAGACCAGATTCTAAAAGGAGAAATAGCATTTCCCGAGGCTGCTACTTCTCCACAGCAGGAAAAGTGCACCTGTGAAGTGGTCGGTTGATGCTGCTGTCACAGTCACAAATAACAACCTGGAGAGTCGGCTCCAAGTCCCTGAAGGTACTAGGGGACCATTTTAGCTTTCTCATCGCCATGACTGCACATCTGACATAAACAATTTAAAGGGAGGAATGCTCGATTTTGTTCAGTTTTTCAGAAGTGGTGGGGTGGGGAGGGCATGGCAAAGCTGTGCGGTTTACATCATGACAGCCAAAGAACAGAAGTGTGGTTGTGCTAACTGGCTTTTTCCTCTTTCTCCGTTCTTTCACCTGGGCCCCTAGCATATCAGACGGAGCCACCCACATGCAGGGGAAGTTTCCTCCCCAGGTTAATGCTCCCTGGAAACATTCTCAGGCACACCAGATGTATGATTTACCACTCTCTTAAGACACTCTCAGTTCAATGAAGTATACCACCAAAAATAACCATCAAAGGGCTGGCTGGTGATACGGCCTCAGCACTTAAAAGCATGTGCTGCTCTTGCAGACGACCCAAGTTCAGTTCCCAGCATGGACTGAGACGCTTATAAAAACAGCTGTGCCTTGTTGAGAGAAGATTCTAGGAGCTACCCAACTGACCACGGTGCCTTTGCACTCTAGAGACATAGAGAACATTGTTACTGAAACAGGTGAACAGACTCAGGTTGTGGCAGATGGAGGAGCACTTGATGTCCTTCCTGGACTGCTCCTAACCTCATACCTAACATTCAGAAGAAATCCACACTGTAACTGGACCAGATCAGCAAGCTGTGAACCATGGATAGTCCTATTGCTCATAGCTAATCTAAATCAAACTTTAAAACACACGTGAGCTATCTGGGTTGTGCCCAAGTATGTTAAGTGGTGGGACAGTTGAACAGATTTATAAACCTCATTCATTGTGGAACAATGTCACTATCAATGAGTCTCTTATCAGCTAAGGACACCAAGAACATTCTGGTTGTTCTAGATGCCACTTTAAGTATCTTTCAGGCTTCTGTAAAACTATACGAAAGTGAGAAACTTACTACAACTCAACAACGTGTAGCTTGGCCAGAAGGAAGTTCTGCAAACCCATGGAAACAATTGTGGGGGAGGTCTCATAAAGCCACTTTGCAAGTGTCCCCCAGGAGAGGATAAGACCAAAACCTCTGAAACCTATGCCTTCCAAGCTCAAGATGGAGATAGAACCCCAGGGACCTTTGACTTTTGGATTATACAGTTGAGGTGTCGTTGGTGTTTGTATGCTGTTTTGCATAAACTTGTCTGTCTAGTAAGAATGTTTTTTAGGCCAGGGAGATGGCTTATTGGATAAAAAATACCACCTTGATTGCAGAGCAAGTTCAAGACCAGTCCGTGCTAAATGAGACTCTGCCTCAACAAAAACAAAAGTTCTAAATGCCCTATTGTCCTTAATGATGCTGGCTGAAAGCATTTCCCATACTGCAGACCACCACTCACTTGCCTGAACCATCACTGTACGGTGTCCCATTGTCAGTACTAGATACTCAGGCCTATGTCTAACCTGAAAGAACAGTGAATAATGCTCTTGTGTTCTCCGCCCCTAGAGGTCCATTTGTTCTTACCTGGTCCAAGGGTTTGAACTGATCTTGGAAAAAAAATCTATAGATTCTACTAGAGGTCATAGAAACTGGGAGATGTGGATTAGCTCTAAGAATATTTATGCAGAAAAGGCAAGGCGGTAGAGTTCAATGCCATGATAGTTCTGGCTTGTTATCAAACTGGAGCAGACTGGTAACAGAATGTGGAGTTTTGAGTTGGTTCATATATCCAGACAAAGATAACAGACAACATCAGTCATTTTTAGCATCCTTAGGTTATGGAATCTCCCCCTTTAACTATCTGTACTCAGTGTTATTTAGAACGTCCTTAAAATGTGACTGCGTGGATAAGTACAACCTCATGGTAATGTTAATGGCTTAGCCAACACATTTAGTAGCCCATTAGATTTTAAATCTTTCTCAAGTTATCAGTTCACCAGTAAAATTTAACAAGAAACATTGTGTCAGGAACTAAGAAGACTGATGCTATGGCATATTGAAAAAGGTATGTTTCTGTGTTAATATAGGAAACATTCTAAACACACCCCAGGCTACCCAATGAGCCCTCTGATCAGGAACTAATGAGACTGTCACTTTTAAAATCTCAGGTTCAGGGATGGAGAGAAGGTTCCGTGGTTAAGAATACTTGCTGTTCAACTTCCAGCACCCATGTGGCAGCTCACAACCACCTGTAACTCCAGTTCCAGGGGATCCAACATTCTCCTCTGGCCTTCGATAACACCAAGCACATGTATGGTACACATCCACACATGCAAGCAAGACACTCAAACAAGAATTTTAAAAGTTGAAAATGAACCCAAATAAGCAAATGGGTACCACATCAAGTACCTTCAGTAAGGAACTCAAATAGAATTCAAGTCTTAAGTCTCTAGCCATACAAATCAGCCTGAGGTCCTACTCCCTCATTTTGGCTGTATCTTCACAAGCATGTACTGGGGATAAAGCAAGGTGACTAGTAATCAGGGAACTAGGCACACAGTGCTCTGGTACTTCCGGGATGTGACAGACCAGTGGTACACTGGGGGGTGGGGGTGGGGAAGAGGGGAGGCAGAGCAGGGAAATCCCTGGAGCTTGCTGGCCAGTCAGCCTAGCCTACTTGGTAATTTCCAGGACAGTGAGAGACCCTGTCACAGGAAGAGGAAGACGGCACCTAAGAGACAAAAGCCAAGGTTGGTCTGGCCTCCATGCGCAGACGCACATGCACGTGCACACACACACACAGGGGGGCAGGGAGGGGCTGGATGATTTCCCCGAAAGGTGGTTACTACTCCAATGAGCCCTACAGGGAGTGTAAGAATCAACAGGACATCCAAGGATCTGAGTTTCTTGAGTTAGCAGGGAGGTTTCATGTGGGTGGCTTATGATCAACTGTGAATCTACAGTCTCTTCTGAGTCCAAAATCAAACAAAACTTCATAGGTGCAGAGGGCAATGAAACCGTTTCAGACACCCTTGGTCATCTGTTTGGTGTTCAGTGCTCTTACATGGACTACGGCATGGGCGGTCCATCTGTTCTCTACTTGATTCTGGGTTTACAGATAAAATGGTCCCCTCAGCTTTACTTCTGCCAACCAACAAATGCAGACAGTAGCTATCTCCCAGAGCTATAAAAGGAGAAGATGCAGTAAAACATGTGAAACAGAGGAAAACCATACTATTCAGTTAATGTTAGCTCCACCCTTCAGCCCAGGCTGTTTTGGTTGGTTTTTCAAGACAGTGTTTCTCTGTGTAGCCCTGGCTGTCCTGGAACTCATTTGTAGACCAGGCTGGCCTTGAATTCAGAGATCCTCCTGCCTCTGCCTCCTGAGTGCTGGGACTAAAGGTGTGCGCCACGACACCCAGCCTTCAATACAGGTGTTATTACAAAGTCCCAAAGGATCTTGAACCTATAAACAAACTATGACAGGTCACTGAAAGCCCAAAGAATTCTTAGAAGTTACAAAGCCTTCTTGTTTGTGTTGCTGGGTTAGTTGGTTTGTTGACGGTTTTACTGTTGTTGATGTTTTGGGGTTTGATATTTTATTTTGTTTTCAGAGAGGGTTTTCCACAGTCCAGGCTAGTTTTGAACTCACTGTATAGCTGAAGATGACACTGTATTTCCAATTACCTCCCAAGTGCTAGTGATCCAGGTATGTACCACCACTGCCAGTGAGAAGTTACAAAGTAATATATAAAGCCCTTTATGAAAAACAATCTCAAAATAAGTTTATCAGGTCAGCTGGCTAAAAGTGAGTTTAACAATGGCAAGAGCGGTGTCCTTGCTACACACTTGTTCTCATGGGGCATGGAAGGCATGCCACTGTAAACTCTGCAGTCACCCTTCTATCCACAAAGATCCTAATAAGGAAGCTTAGGAATGAGACCCAGGGGTGACAGAACTTAAGAGTTAGAGCTAACACTTTAACCCCTGCCAGTTGAGTACAGGGCTCATTGAGTGAAAATTATCTTTCTCTTTCAGGACCAATATTCATGATGAAAAAGAAATTCCAAAATCATGCTAATAATAAAATGCTTCCACAAACTACACAAAAAAAGCTATAAATACATGAAGCTGCAAATAATTTCAAATGAAATCCTTAAAAACTTGCTTCAAGTTTAATGCCTTTTCCCATTTAAGTAACAAGTCAGGCTACACCTACAAACACAAAATTAAGTTTCTGATGTTAGCCTTACACCCTCAAAAGATGAACAAACCTCAAAAATAATTTCCGATGAGATTGGTGAGTAAACTAAGCAAGCTTGTCAAAGTAATTTCAGTCTAACCATTTCCTAAGTAAACAGTGAGCAATTTATAAATAGTGCCAATGCTTTTCCTAAACGCTAAGCGAAAGAAACCAGACACACTGTTTCTCCACATGATTCCATGTCTACGAATGTCTAAAAACTAATGTGAGAAAACAAATCACTGTTTGCCAGGGATCGAGATGAAAGGAAGGGACGCATTGCAAAGGACCATAATGTGGACAACTGTGTATGATGTAAAACTCACTCCACAATGGAAACTAGTGGATTCTATTATTCGTTTTTTTTTAAAGAAAGGGAAAAAAAGAGCAGGGAGTTGGATAGATGGAGAGGTAAGGAGGATATGAGAGGAGTTGGGGAGAGGAAACCATGATGAGAATATATTATATAAAAAATTTTTTCAATTAAAAAATGTATAATTTTTGAGTACATATTATCAACATGCTTTTCAAAGAATCCTTTCAATGAAAACATTTTAGAAGCCGGGCAGTGGTGGCACATACCTTTAATCCCAGCACTTGGGAGGCAGAGCAGGCGGATCTCTGTAAGTTCGAGGCCAGCCTGGTCTACAGAGTGAGTTCCAGAACAGTCAGAGCTGTTACACAGAGAAGCCCTATCTCAATAAACCAAGAAAGATAGATAGATAGATAGATAGATAGATAGATAGATAGATAGATAGATAGATAGACAGACAGATGCTTTTCAAGTCTGGAGGTTTAGCTTAATGGCAAAACATCTGCATACCATATGTAGAGCCCTGGATTCAGGCCTCAGCACTAAAGAAAAAAAAAAAAAGAAAAAGAAAAATACCTTGGTAGAAAAATATTTATTTGTGTAAAATCTATAATCTAAAAACTGTAAGCGGTGTTTACTTCTTGACATCCTACAACAAATATCTTGGGCTGGAGAGATGGCTCAGAGGTTAAGAGCACTGACTGTTCTTCCAGAGGTCCTGAGTTCAATTCCCAGCAACCACGGGTGGCTCACAACTATCTGTAATGAGATCTGGCTCCCTCTTCTGTATACATAACAAATAAATAAATCTTTTTTAAAAAAAAAAGAAAGAAAAGAAATATCTTAAGTTGTCTTCTAGAAAAAGGCAAAAATAAAGAAGTGCTTAAACAGTGACCCTAAATACAATGGAAACATTCCAAACTGTCCAAACTATTCAGCACATACGGACACCAACTACCTGGCCAGCGCTTTTCTTATATAGCAGAGGCTGCAAATTCAGGCCAAATAGGAGCCACAGAGCTAACACAGGGAAGCAATGTGGCAGAAGCTACACACTGGGAAACTGGAGAGCACATGGCCTTCCCCAATTGAGCTGTCACCACTGGGTACTGCAAGCTGATGCCACCCAAGGACACAGGCTCCAATGGAGCTGGAGTTTCTGATGTTTAAACACGTGCAGACATCTGGACTCGGGTAATCTTTTCTGATTCTTTCCAGAATGAGGCTTCCATTTATTTTTTAATACCACCAAATAAACAATATCCATAGACAAGCTCGTGACCTGGAGTCCACAGTACATGCTTTCTGAATTAGTTCAGTAGCAGAGGCAGGTCGTTCTCCTAACCGCTTACCTCTTTAATTGTAGAGAATCCACAACGGTGTGGGATATTAGTGCAAGTGAAGTAGAACTCATCTCAAAATACAGGAAGGACAATCACTGGTTGAAAAGCCAAAGTCTAGGTCCATTTCTAAGCACATTGATTGGTATAAAGTCCACATGTCTAAGCACACCGCCTGGTACAAGGAGAAATGAGTCTGAAGGAGCTGGAGTAAAAGGCAGCACAACTTTTACAGTCAGCTTCCGGACTCCAGAGCAATGAAGTAATCCACGTGCTGAAACTTGAGGACCTCGTTGCCCCAACTCATCCAACCTGGCTGTAAATTTCGAGCAAACAATTCCAAACACTGCCCACCTGGCTTAATGTAGTCCTTCAGTACTTCTGTCCAAAAAGAAAAGAAAAAAAATCAATATTAAGAAAGAAATCAGTTTCCTTTTATAAAGTAGAGAAGCATAGATGATATTTCAGATATTTCAGTTTTTAAGACAGACAGCAAACCAGAGTCAAGCATGTCATGGTCGGCTCTGCTATTCATGTCAGAAACTCAAAGAAGCATCACCCGCAGGCTTGGGAGCGGCACCTGCGGGCTCGGGAGCCGCACCTGTGGGCTCGGGAGCCGCACCCGCGGGGCTTGGGAGCGGGACCACTGCAACCTGCACTAGTTCCGATTTACTGCTTTCCATTTGCAGATGAGAGCTTTAACACCCACATACGTGACTCTCCAGTTTTCCAATACTGCTCACACGTCTCCTGAGAACTAATTTACTTGATTTTTTAATAAATGCAATCCATGCATTTAAAACAAAACTGTAGAAACAATATAAAGACAATCTTCCTGGAAACTGAAGATAAACTATGAGTCTAGTATTAGCAAATACTTTAGTGAAATAATTAAGCAAAGAGTATACAGACAGAAGTATTCAAAAGTCATTACTACAGCCCCATAGCTGAAACATGGAGGTTCTAAGACTATTCCCATACTATAGTTCTTTGCCTAACTTTCACCATGCTATTTCCAGTTTAGGAGCCCTTATTTATATGTTCATAACTACAACACCGAAAAACCATCTTTTTTGGAGAGAAGACACTTCATTTAGACTAGTTAAGTAACTGTGGTCCACACTGCCTGGGAGAAAGGAAACCACGGCAACTTGTTCTTAAAAAGCACTCGTTCACTTAGAGGACAAACAATTCAATCATTCTAACCCTGATCATGTTCTGGTTGCTCTACGAACCACATAACAGGAATTGTGTATAAAAATAGTTCCAAGAAGAAAGTACTTCAGCAAGCAGAATATAGTTCATAGTTGCTATGTTGGGATGGCCTTCGAAGAAGCCTATCAAATTCTAAGAATGACAAGGCTTCTTCCGGATTTTTCTTTTTTCCTTGGGAAGGAAGGATCCAGCCCAGGACCTGTACATGTTAGGCAAGCACTCCATCTCTGAGCTATACCTCCAGTCTCGTGGCTTCTTTGGGAATAACTGAAAGTTTTAAGAGATAACAAATGTAAAGTTAGAAACACAATATAGCAGGGATGGATCTGGGAGGAGCTGGGGAGAGAGAGGAAATGAATATGAATACATAATATGAAACTCAAATAATTAATTAAATTGTTACATTATTATTAAAAAACATTTTGAGTGTCAGACTGTTCTTTGTCCAAAAGTAATATTCTTACTTATCACAAATCAAAGAAAATTAAAAGCTGTTATTGCCTGCAATTGAACTAACTCTAATTTAGGCTTTGGTGAGTTTCTAGATGTTGACATAAAAGATTCTATTCCTTTCAAAAGTATGGAATTAAACACAGGACAACTTGAAAGAGAAAACTTTCCCTGGAGACCTAAAGGAGAAAATCCTAACTCCCCTTCTATTTTCTAGAAGTTACCATGGGTTACGCTACAGTGACATAAGATTGTGCTAAACCACCCCTTCTATTTTCTAGAAGTGAGCATAAACTAAGGTACAGTGATATAAGATTGTGGGTTTACTTAGGTTCTGCAGTCTTTCGGCAAAGATGTTCTCTTGATGAGGGGGCTGGAGAGACAGCTCAGCAGTTAAGAACTCTTGCTGCATCTGCGTGAATAAGAGGGTCTCTGACTCTTGCCTACTCTTGGGCTCTTTTCCTCCTCTTGGGATGCTATGTCCAAATTCGATGTGATAGTTTTTGCTTTATATTATTGAATTTTATTTTGTCATGTTTGGTTATCTGTTGGATGCTTGTTCTTTTCTGATGAGAGACTGAAGAGGAGTAGATCTGGAGGTGGGGGAAGCTAGAGAGGAACTGGAAGGAGTTGAGGGAGGGGAAACTATGATCGAGATGTATTGTATGAAAAGGGAATCTATTTTCAATAAAAGAAAAAGGAGGAAAAAAAAAACACTTGCTGCTCTTACAGAGGAGCAGGATTTGATCCCCAGCACCAACATGGTGGTTCACAACCACCTGTAACTCTAGTTCCAGGGGATCCAATGACCTCTTCTGGCCTCTGCAGACATCTGGGATGCATGTGGTGCACAGACAAGCATGCAAACAAAACACCCATACATATAAAATAATTTTTAATTAAAAAGATGTATCTTGAGATTTTGAAGCAAGAGAGAACAGTTCATGTTTTGAGAACACATAAAACAGTTTAATAAGGTTCACAGGAAAAGTTCTAAGTAGTATGTACACACCATACATCATGCAAACCCCCAGAGTTATGATTTCACTGTAAAATTAGTTACTTTCTGATGGCTTTAACTTGTACCTCTCTATAGCTAAAATACATATACTAAACTAATGTGAACTCAAAAACAAAGTACTACAAATACTTCATGCATATTACTATGTAGCCAAAGCTTGAAGGTTAACTCAATTGAGTCATTCAGATTTTCCTCACAAATACAAGTTTGAGTTGAAATGTTTTCAATTCTAAAATGTGTTTGTGCTGCCCTCTACTGGCAGTACAGCAGAAACACTTCATAGGCTGTTCAGGGCAAGACTAATTTTAAGGCACTCTCTTTAAATCTTTTCTCTTAAGAATAATCTTTAAATGTATTTTTATTCTATTTCAAATGAAATGGCAGATTAAAAATTAGTTTAGAATTGAAAGGTTTGGGGTCTTAGATTTTTTTGGTAAATCTTTTATAGCAAACTATAAACCCTAAAACAAATTACTTATACCTTAAGCGTTGGTACATACCAAATGATAAACAAAATTCAAGTAAACAAACTAGATTTCATTAAAGTACAACTGGTGTTAAATAATCTTTTTTTCAAGGAACAATAGAGTTCACTTTCATCTAGGTCACAAACTAATGCACTAGCATTTACAGAGTCCCAAGTGTGAGGTTGCAGAGGATCCTTCTAAGCCACAGAATAGTCAAACACATCGGAATATTTCTCAAATTACAGGTACTGTAAGGACTGCTTTGCAAAGCTATTCAAGGTAACAGAAATCTTGAGTTCACTTTCTTTTGCTTGTTGTATGTCAGCGTGTGTATCTGTGTTATACAGGTGTGGCACAAACACTGAGCATGTAAGTACCAGGGTGCACTTGCCAAGGTCAGAGTAGTGCCTCCTTCATGGCTCTCTGCCTTATTCCCTTGAGATAGACTCTCTCATTGAACTGGAAGCACACCATCTGGCAGGCCTGGCTGGCCAGTGAGCTCTCAGTGAAGCGCCTGTCTCTGCCCCTAATGATGGGGCTGCAGGCACACACAGCCATGCCCGGCGTTTTACATGAACACTGGGGACTTGAACTCATATTCCTGAGCAAGCACTCTTCCCCACTGAGCCATCTCCCCAGCTCCCCTAAGTTTACTTTCTTATGTTTTCGTTTCCTAGCCCACAAACTATACTCTGCAAAAGTAAAATTGATAATTGCCCCATAGTTTTTAAACAGTAATGATCAAATTAGTAAAATATCGTCCTGAAGAAGTTATCTAACAAATAAACTTGGAATACCAAATTCCGGCTCTCAAAGACTTCCATGAGTAAGTCTTTAAACTCTCACTTGAAAAAGTTGAGCATTTACTGACTTTTAAATACATTGTAAGCAGTGTGAGCAATCCTTACCACTTTGCAGTATTAGATATCATTACTCACTCTGAAAATGAGGGTGGCAAGGAAAAGATCTGGGTAATCTGCCAAGCAACAGAGCCAGAATCCACATGCCTGCGAGCCAATGCCCAAGGCCAACACTGGCCACTAGTCCTTGCTGCTCAGTGACCCTGAATGAGGAGCACGACACTGAGCACTCCAGCTTGAGGGAACTGCATCCTCAGTAGCTGCCTTCCCATGCTGCAAAACAGTAGCCTGCCTTCAGGAGACATAAAAGTACCACGCTCAGGGGATCTAGACATCTATTCTGCTGGGTTCCTAGTTGGAGGGCAAGTAAGGGATTTCCTGTTCTGAATCCTAAACATGAGGGCAAAGCAAGGCCACTCAATGAACTACAACCTCTGAGGCCCTGACAGCCTTTGTCTGCCAAGGCTACTACTAGAGGGACAAAGATATAAAGAAAACCTGGGAACTGATGCTAAAGGATGGCTGAGGTAATATAAACCAACGTGCTCTGTTTCATAAGTTCTGCAATGAATTTCCTACAGCATTTCACAATATTAAAACATCTCATTCACAAACCGACAGACCACTCAAATACTAAATTCAATCCTTCTTTGAATATTTCCCAAATTCTAACAGTTCTGTTTCACAGACACATACCGGCCAGAGGTGGCTTATGTGAGTGAAGAATGCAGGGTACACTGACAATCAGTTTCTGATCTGGAACAGGGGGCACTTCTACATCTGTGTTCCTAATTAAAACAGAACAAGAGAGCAAACTATTACTTAAAGGATCATTGTTAATTATATGCTACAGTTGCATCATATTTTTTCTCTTCTAAATAGTAATTAATTCTATTAATAAATAAATTCAAAGACAGAATCAATGAGGAAAATCAATTTTAAAATTCAAACATTTTTAGAATGTTATTTTTCATATTAGCTACCTTACTCTTGATAAAACAAAAGTTAGTATAAATTTTTATTTACTCTCACTTTTCTTACCTTAATGCTAAGGCAGCTTTTTCTCGAACTCTCCCCAGTACAAGACACTCATAAGGCTTTTTGTGTGGGGAATCCAGTGGGAACACAAACTCCCCTGAATGTGTGATCTGAAAGGAAGGAACCAAGGAAAGCAATTTTTTTTTCTGTCATTATACAGTTTCCAGCAAAAAAGAGAAGTTGTTAAACCTCCAGGCTAGGATTGTCTAATAAAAAATATAGTGTGAGCCAAAAATCCACATATATAATTTTAAATTCTCTAGTGGTAACAGTAGAAAGAAGTTAAAAAAAAATGCAAAGTAATTAATCTTAATTGCATTTAATCTAGCATGCCTAAAACAGTATTTTCACATGCAATCAATTTGAACAGGTATCATAATATATGACATTCTTTCCTCCATAGTGGGTCTTTCAAGTCCAACATATATTTAACACTCAACGGCACCTCTCCATTTGAAGGGCACAGTCAAATGCTAGAGAGCTACATGTCACAGTGGCTACCATACTGGACAATGTAGCTACAAAGAATGTTTCAAACTCACATAACATGGATATGTTTAAATATATTGTATTATTATCTCACACATAAACAATCTCTACTTTTTATGATCACTTGTTCCTGGAAACCAGGCCATTGTTAATTCAGTCATTAATTCACTCAAATAACATTCACTGATCACTAACCACGTGACTAAGTAGTTACAAATAAAGCCTTCTACCCTTGAGATGGCAGACCGCCAGAGAGTGGGGGAGGTGTGAGGTAGAAAAGACCTGGTGCAGAGGCTGCCTCTTGGCACTATAAATTCCAGGCTGGCAACTTAGCAGGATCCTGTCTACAAAATAAAATAAAACAGAGACTGAGAGCCTAGAAGGTAGCTAAACATGGTTACATAGGTTGAAGGTCAGCCTCGGCTACAAAGCAAGGTCAAGGCAGTGTGGATTACAGGAGACCCTGTCTCAAGGGGGGAAAAGCAAACCAACAACAACAAAAAAGAGAATGAGCCGGGCAGTGGTGGCGCACGCCTTTAATGCCTTTAATCCCAGCACTCGGGAGGCAGAGGCAGGAGGATCTCTGTGAGTTCGAGGCCAGCCTGGTCTACAAAGTGAGTTCCAGGAAAGGTGCAAAACTACAGAGAAACCCTGTCTCGAAAAACCAAAAAAAAAAGAGAATGAAAGGTTCTTGGTTCCCTTTCTTCTCATACACTCGACAGTGGCCTTGCTATTCTCTGCTCTCATCCCCACAAACAGGGGCTAGGGATGGGTAATGCAAAGGGCAATGAAACTGTTGGTGTGTGGAGAAGACAGTGAAGGCAAGACAGTCCCAAAATTCCTGCTTGTTCATTAAACTACAGATATCACATGGGTGCACACACGTGTGTGCATACGTGCGTGCACACACTCAGGCACACAAAAATTTTTTTTAATAAACTAGAGCTTTTTATAACTTCATTCTGATCTCTCTGATTTCCCAAGGTCAGCAGTTTGGGGCCCTGCTGCAAAGACAGAGGATAAACAGACAAACACCTTGAGAACAGGAAGATAGGTATTCAGGCACAAAGCACAGAAAGCTCTCATCAGAGCCCGATGAGGACACCAGGGATGCGGACGCAGTGAGAACAGCCGGTGTCTTCCCGTGAGCAGTAGGAGACACTGTGTATGTAACAAATGAGCTAACTTCTCAACTCACTTTTACCCAGTACCATTCCGCAACGACTTCCACAGACCACGAAGGATAGAGTTCCTCCTTCACAAAACACAGGTGCTTCTGCCTGTTGGTCACCCACGTAACAACCAGACAGTCGGCAGCAGCCAGCTTAGGAACAGGCATTTGCTTTATCTGCTGTGGTGATAAGCAACTGTACCTAAAAATGAACAGGAAAAAAAAATGAGAAAACTAACTTCAAGAAAGAAATCTAAGCAGGAGAAGAGCTGCAGGGCACCAACCCCACAAACGCAAAGTTCCAGGAGCCACTCACGTGTGGCAGGTATGGAGTCACACTGACACCTGGTGGATTCGATGGCACTTACACATGCACCAATTTTTCTGTTTTATTCGTTTTTTTTACATTGCCAGGCTGTATGTTCTTTATTTTTTTAATTACTTTCAAATGACTTACATTTTGGTAATTTTCCCACACATAATATGCTTTTTCTCTCAGACTTAAACAAATATTGCCTGGATTCCATCATTATGTGTTTCACAGGAGCCCCATTGGAGTGAGTCTTGAAATTAGTAACCCAAATGGTGACATCGCTTGGTACAGGAAGCATTGGCTGTGAGCCCGGTGATGCAAAAGCCAGCTGACTTTAGGGAGGTGCTGGGCCCCACTGTAAGCCTAAGTCTTGCGCACACTGCTGACCCCGAGATCTCCTATCACCTTGCCCAACCTCACCTTCTCAATACAGTTTCAAGCCCATCTACCACCCTGCTCCTGTCTTCCCGTTTTCTCTCAAGTCTGCATGCTCTCATTTTGAAGGCCCAGTGTCTTCTGCCTCCTGGCCACTAACAGTACAAAGGAAACTTGTCTTGCTAGAACATTCCTTGCTCTACAAATATTCAAACAAATACAGCTCTTTCTCCAACACTCCACATACAACTGGAGATGCCGAGGTGGTATTCTAGTATCCCCGTGATTGCTTCTAGACGCTATCAACATTTGCAAAACCCCCCTTCTCTTTCAGCATTATCCAGCCACCCTAGCCCCAACTTTCCTCACTAAACACATTTTGTCCCCACTTTCAACATTCAGTGTGCTGAAGCTCTGAGATCCCTCTACCTCAACAAGGAAAACCTTGACACTATCCTGGGCAACTTCAAAGTACAACCCATATAATGTGCACACAACTGTTAATTACCTATACAAACAATACATGCACTTACCCTCCAACAACCCATTCCAATGACATAACTAAGGCCTTGTCACTGTGCTCACATGTGGAGGTATGCATGTGCATATACATGCACACGATAAGGACTGAACCTAGGACCCTGTGCATGCAGAGCACACACTCCACCACTGAAGTATGCCCATGCACACATAGCCGATGTCACAATGCAATTCAACTTCTTCACACAGATAAATGAGGTGAAGGAAAATGCAGAGGGAAAGAATTAGACCACTGAAGCTTTCAGTCTGTTCTCAAGTTCTCAAACCAGTCATGGATTCTTTTATTTCCTCAGGGTTCCCACTTCTCAGCTCCTTTTGCTCATTATTTCCCTTGGCATATGAAGTTATCTCATACTTTAGTTAAAATAAAGCCACCAGGTCTCTTCAACTACCACACTATCTCCTTCCTCCTTAATACACTTTACTCATCTACTTCAACCAAGTTCTCCTTGGGGAAATGGATGACAGTGTCTACTGAAGTTTATCCTTCCAACTGTCTTCTCATTCCTATATTCCAATACCCTGTAGTATCAATTATTACTTCTGCATTTCCATCCTCTCTGGTAGTTTATCATCATACTTGGATTATGCAATTTGAAAAGAAAAGGAGAGAATGAGGAGAGATGGGGACAAGGGAAATGAAAGAGAGAAAGGAGGAAGGAGAGAGGTTTTTCAGATATTTATTTATTTGTTTGTTTGTTTGTATTGGCGTGTATCTGTTGTAGCATGTGTGTGGAGGTCAGAGAACAATTGAGGGAGTCAGTTCTTTCCTTCCATCATGTGAATTCCAGGGACTAAACTCGGGTCATCAGGCTTGGCAGTGGGTGTGTTTTCCCAGTGAGCCATCTTGCAGGCCCAACCAAGTCTTATTATTTTAGCCTGGAATGTCTCCCTTTGGCTCAGGTGGGGAGTGTTCAGTCTGGATTGTGGTGCTGTTCTGGAGACTAGCTAGCCTTAGGGGTGCAGAGGGCTGGCAGCAGTAGATCACTAGGAGGGGTGGAGATCTTCGAAGGTTACGCCCACCACTGGTTGCCATCTAGTGCTCTCTACTTCCTGTCTGCTGCTATGTGCTCCTGTACCTGTGAACAGGGGCCATGCCTTTCCTACTGTGATGGACCGAGATTTCTAAAAGCATGCGTCAAAAGCATACCTTTCCTTCCTTAAGATGCTTCTGTCGAGGGTTTTGTCAGTTTCCTCCCAGGGCTGACTAGGCTACGGATGCCATGGACCTAAGTCTCCCTACTTCCTCTCCCTCGTTTCATTCCTCTGTCAATGCCAAAGAAACTTCTACAACTCTACTCACTCAGAAAAAGACACGGAGTCTCCCCAGGGCCAGGCACACGCATCTGGTTCTGACATAAAGCAACATTACATTGAAGGGGTCGGGAATAGCTGGCAAACTTTTCTTAAGCAGATACACTTGGTGGAAGAACTTAAACAGGGAAAAGGACTCAGATTGCAAGCATCCTGGGCTCATGCTATCCGGACCGTCACACTCCCAGAACACTGGCTTTCCCATTCTCACAGGGACAGTTTTCAGAGTATTTTGTCACGGTGGATAAAGCATTAGGTGAAACCTCTGCAGTGACATTTTTCAATGGCTATGGATTCCCGACTGCCTTAACTTATCTGGAGTGTTTGGAGGTGAGGAAATACTCACTTTCTCTGGTACCTCTAAACTCACAGAAATCACTGAGCAAATTCCAAAGGATGCATCCTTATGCCTTATGAGGATAACTATGCAAAAGCACCTACTTTTCAAAGGTAACGTACATCTTCATACACCCTTTGAATTAGAATACAAACAGGAGCCGGGTGGCGGCGGCGGCGCACGCCTTTAATCCCAGCACTTGAGAGGAAGAGGCAGGCGGATCTCTGTGAGTTCAAGAGGCCAGCCTGGTCTCCAAAGCGAGTTCCAGGAAAGGCGCAAAGCTACAGAGAGAAACCCTGTCTCGAAAAACCAAAAAAAAAAAAATACAAACAGGATTTCTTATAGAACTTTCACACAGGCTAAGTTTTAGTTGATCCGTGTTCTGTACTCCTCCCCCTCATCTCCCTGCCCCCTACTCGTACCCTTCCACCCCTAGTCTCTTTTTTCCAACTTTCATATCATAGGTGTTCTATTACCTCCTCTACCCTCCTCCCTTAAAGTATCTTATGACTTTGTGTTATGTCAAAAGAAAAAAAAAATTTTTTGATTTTTCTAAGACAGGGTCTCACTTACCAGGCTGGCCTCAAAGTCATAGAGATCTGCCTACCTCTGCCTCCCAAGTGCTAGGATTAAAAGTATACACCACCACGCCTAGTTTGGCAAAAAAAAAAAAAAAAAAAAAAAAAAAAAAAAACCACTTCCTAAATAAAACACTAAAAGCTTAAACAACATTGAAAAATTAACAAAGTTCTGAGCAGTGATGGTGCAAGCCTTTAATCTCAGCACTGGAGAGGCAGATCTCTGTGAGTTCAAGGTCAGCTTGATCTACAGAGTAAGTTCTAGGACAGTCAAGGCTACTCAAAGAAACCCTGTCTCCCTGTCTCGAAAAACAAAACAAAATGACAACAACAAAAATCAAACTTCATGCTTTATATAATTCTGAAGAAAGCAAACAAAAAAAGGTTGAAGAAAAATATTTGCTAATCATGTATCTGATAAGAATCCAATATCTAAAATATACAAAGACCTCTTATAAATCAACAAATTTAAAGATGCAACCTTAAAATATACATAGAAGCTTTTCTATAGAACATAAAAGAACTGATAAGAACATGAAAAACTGTTAGGTATGGTTCGTCTTTAGAGAAGTGCAGATCAAAACCACAATGTAATACTTCATAGTAACATAGTTATAATTTGAATTACAAATAACAAATATTGGTAAAGATGAAGAAATGTCATACGCATTATTGGTAGAGATGTAAAGTGATACAGCTACCATGAAAAATTGTTTGGTGGTGCCTCAAATTTTTAAGGATGGACTCAACACAAGGCACAGCAACTTTATATCTAGGTAAGTGTCCAAGAGCTAGTCAAACTACAGAGTTTAAAGGCACAGTCTTCACAACTGACCCCACTTTCAAAACCAATTATAATTCTCTAAAACGACCTCAGACTCAACAATCTGTCAGAAAGTTTCACAAAACTTACTAAATGTTGTTACAGTCATAGTTATAAGGAGTCACAGGAAACTGAGGGCACACATCTCAGTGTAGAGCATGATCTACAGTTTCAGTGTGCTACAAAGGCTTTTGGAACAACTGGTAAAATCTGAATAAAGTCACAGATGACACCAATGTGTCCACAGACATTTTATATTAACATTAGTTATCTACTTGATAACTGCATTATGATGATGTAAGACCACCTCTGTTTTTTGTTTCAAATACACTTCAAATTTTTTTTTTTTTTTTTTTTTTCCGAGACAGATTTTCTCTGTGTAGCTTTGCGCCTTTCCTGGATCTCGCTCTGTAGACCAGGCTGGCCTCGAACTCACAAAGATCCACCTGCCTCTGCCTCCCAAGTGCTGGGATTAAAGGCGTGCGCCACCACCGCCCGGCACACTTCAAATTTTTAAGAGTAACTTTCTCTTATTTCATTTTCAAGTGGTTCCAAAAAATGTAGAGAGATATATAGAGATACAGATATAGATACACTGAAAAACATAGATATCTATACACTCCAGAATAGATACATGATTCTTCGCACAATTCTTACAACTTAAAAAGACAATTATCACACACCTTATAAAGAAAAATCCAAAGAAAGCTAAAGATAAGTGTTGAGAGGAAGAACTTCAGTCTAAGTTTATAACAAAACAAGAATTGTTATATCTGGAACACTGAAGGGTGAGAAGAAACTAAAAGCATTCATCGAAAGTACCAGGGAAAGTTTCTTCAAGTGATAAAGATGTTAGTAAAAGTAAACACCATCCCTGTCACTAACTGAGCTTATCCTATGAGATGACAGGAACTAAACATATAAACCATCTGTGAACTAGAGGATTCACTCCCTGCACATTACTCTAAACTACAAGAGTGGCACATGGCTGAGTTTCCAAACAGGACAGGGAAGAAGGCAAAAGGATGGCCTTAGTGTTGCTCAGAAAACCTTGAATGTTTCAGGCCTCAGCGACAGCTGTAGACACTGTTTCACAGATATATTGGCTCCAGTTCAAGTATCTAGAATTAAGGAAGTTAATTTTTTTGATGAAAGCATTGCTAGTAGCTTCGGATAACTGCTATCGTGTTTATAGTATACCAAACTAAAATTCACAAAGGACTGAGGTTTCCAGAATGCAATCTAGCAGGTGAGTCGTTCCCACTCACCTGTTACTTCTTTTAACCGATTTGTTCTCCCACGGTGGATCAATCACAATGACATCAAATGTCTTACCGCCTGAAATCAAAGGCACAATTTCAAAAAACATCCTCTGTATGTGCTGAGTTTAAGAGCTAAACACTGGGACTGAGGGGAAACCATGGAGCCCACACTCTCATAAGCGAGCTCTGAATTGAATCCCCAGAACCCTTCAAAGATAAAAATTAAACAAGTAAAACACACACACACACACACACACACACACACACACACACACACACACACACACAAACACACATGACTAAAAATGAAATTAAGACAAAAAATTTTAAAGAGGGACCAGCAAGTGCTCTGCAGGTAAAGGCCACCAAACCTGCTGATCTGGGCTGGATCTCAAACCCACATAAGGGTGGAAGAGAGGAGTCCACAACACTGTCCTCTGACCTCTACACATGTCACAGACATACACAATGATAATAAGAAATCAATACATTTCAAAAGTAAAGTACTGTTTTTTGAACCTAGGACCTTGGGCATGTTCAGCAAGCTGCATAAGTGAGTTATAGCCCCAGCCCAAGGACTTTCATTATAGACACAAATACAATGGAATACAACAAAAGAGTTCATGGCATTTATTCAGCTACTGTCACTCTGGACCTTTGAGACAATAGCGATTGTAATTGTGCACACTGACTTTTGCAGAGCCATCTACGGATGGTTACAGTCCACTGAGCTGGGTACTAAGAACTTGAAAATGCCCTTACTGTTTGGAAGGAGTCTGGTGGAAGATCCACCTAGGCTCCCTTCCCCAAACCCACCCCTTCAAAGCCTGCTGGACACAGCTCCTCCCCTAGAGAGGCCCAGGATGACTCCCACAGGGGATATATAAGCAGCATCCCAGAAAACAGACTCTCTCTGCAGGGCCAGGGAGTCACCCGGGAGCACTTTACCCATTAAACCTGGGCTTTTCCTGATTCGGTTTGTTGTGATGGCAGGAAGGCCTAAACTTATCACTTACAAGTCTGGCAGTCTCATTTATGGTCCTCCTGACCCTATGTACTTTTTAACTCTCTCTTTTTTTAACTTTTTATTTTGAAATTACAGTTTTACAGCTGATATGGTAACCATAAGAAAAAGAAAACTTCTCCAGTTATCCCAAAATCTTTTCTTCTTTCTTCTTTCTTTCTTTTTCTTTTTTTTTTTCTTTAATCCAGGCCAAAATCAGAATCACATTTTGCTTTTAGTTACCACATCTCCTATTTCAGATTATTTCAGATGTCCCTAACTTGGGTTTGGTATTTCCTCATTACTAAATTTAGATCATCTATTTCTGGCAAGAGTATTGCCAAAGTAAGTCTGCCACCTCTCCTCCAAATCCAACCCCCAGCCTCATCCCCAGCTCTGTAGCAGACTACCTGTCGTGGCCTCTCCCCACTCTTTGCTACCATTCTTGGGGACTAAGCAGATCCTGATGAAACACCACACTTTCCTCCCTCCTGTGGACCCCTTCAGGACTCTCCAAGCCCATCCCCATTCCTAAGTGTCAGCTCTCAATATTGGGATCCTATCCATTGCAATTCTAGAATCCAATCTGAGAAGAATTCCCTACCAGGCAACACACAGACACCAGAGTCTCCTAAGAAAAGGGGGAGGGGACAGAAACCAAGGAACAATACACCCACCCAATAAAAACAAGATGAGGTATCAGCACCTAGAATTAGAATCTTCCCAATCCCAGATGCCTAGACTCCAGAGTAAAAACACAATCAATAACAGCCAGGACAGTATGTCTCCACTAGACCCCAGCAATCCTACCACAGCAGGTCCTGAATCTTCCAACATAGATGAAGCACCAGTAAAAGACACTAAAACACCCTTAATGAAGATGCTAGAGGTCCTTGAAGAAGAAACAAATAAATCCCTTAAAGAAATGTATGAAAACACAGCAGAAGGAAATAAATAAAACCATTCAAAACCTAACACTAAAGAAAGTCCCCTAGCCACAAACTAGTCAAAACACTAAATGTATAGAACAAAGAATATTAAAAGCTTCAAGGAAATAAGACCAAGTAACATATAAATGCAGACCTATTAAAATGATACCCAACTTCTCAATGGAGACTCTAAAAGCCAGAAAGGGCTGGACAGATGTTCTACAGACGCTTAAGAGACCACATATGCCATCCCCACACTACTATACCCAGAAAAACTTTCAATGTTAGATGGACAAAATAAGACATCTCATTATAAAACCAAATTTAAGCAATATCTATCTATAAATCTAGCCCTACAGAAGATGCTAGAAGGAAAAATTCAACCTAAAGAGGCCCACCACACCAAAGAAAACACAAGAAATAAATAATCCCACAAATCAAAACAGGGAAAACACACACACACCACCATCACCACCACCACTACCACCACTACAATAAAATAACAGAATCAACAAACACTGTTCATTGATATCTCTCAACATTGGTGGTCTCAATTTCCCAATAAAAAGACACAGATCCTGCAAAAACAGGATCCATACTGCTGCTGCATCCAAGAAACACACCTTAACCTCAAGTTAAAAGAATGGAAAAAGATATTCCAAGCAAATGGACCCAAGAAGTAAGCAGGTGTAGCCATTTTAATATCTGACAAAACAGTCTTCAAACCAAGACTAATTAGAAGAGATCAAGGATATTACATATTCAAAGGAAAAATTCACCAAGAGGACATTGCAATTCTAAACATCTATGCATGTATACAATGGCACCCAAGTTCATAAAAGAAACACTACTATAGCTTAAATCACATACTGACCCTCACACATTTTTGTTAGTGACTTCAATACCCCACTCTCACCAATAGATAGGTCACACAGACAAAAACTAAACAGAGAAATGGTGGAGCTAACTGATATCGTAAACAAAATGGACCTACCAGATATTCACAGAACATTTCACCAAACAAGAAAGGATACACCCTCTTCTCAGCACCTCATGGAACATTCTCTAAAATTGACCAAATACTCAGACACAAAGCAAGTCTCCACAGATACAAGAAAATTGAAACAACATCATGCGTCCTATCTGACGACCATGGATTAAAGCTGGATATCAATGATAGAAACAACACAAAGTTTATAGACTCATGGAAACTGAACTCACTACTGAATAAAAAAAAAAAATGGGTCAAGACAGAAATAAGAAGGAACTAAAAAACTTTTTATAATTGAAAGAAAATGAAACACAACATACCCAGACTTATGGGACACAAGGAAGACAGTTCTAAGAGGCAAATTCACAGCATTAAGTGCCTACATTTAAAAAAAAAAAAATTTAAGAGGTCTTATTCTAGTAATTTAACAGTACACCTGAAGGCTCATAACAAAAAGGAAAAATCACACTCAAAATGAATAGATAACAAGAAATAATCAAACTCAAGGATAAAATCAATAAAATAAAACAAAATTACAAAAAAATCAATGAAACAAAGAGTTAGGTTTTTGAGAAAATCAGTAAGATTGACAAACCTTTATCTAAATTAACTAAAAGGTGGAGCAAGATATCCAAATAAACAAAATTAGAAATGAAAAGAGGGATATAACAACAGATATTGAGGGAATCCAGTGCTGTGGGATGTCTTTCTGTATGCTGTGAATACGTGTTGCTCTGATTGGTTGATAAATAAAATGCTGATTGGCCATTAGCCAGACAGGAAGTATAGGCAGGGCAAGCAGACAAGGAGAATTCTGGGAAGAGGAAGGGCTGAGGAGGAGTCGCCAGCCAGACACAGAGAAAGCAAGATGACAAGGAAGAACTGAGACAAGGTACCAAGCCACATGGCTAAACATAGATAAGAATTATGGGTTAATTTAAGTGTAAGAGCTAGTCATTAATAAGCCTGAGCAAATGGCTGAGCAGTTATAGTTAATATAAGCTTCTGAGTGATTATTTTATAAGTGGGCCACGGGACTGCAGGGGCTTGACAGGACCCGAGAAACCTTCAGACTACAGTCCAGAGAATAAGGACATACTTTAGAATCCTGTGCTCCATCAAATTGGAAAGTCTAAAAGAAATGGATAATTTTCTCTATATATGCCACTTACCAGAGTTAAATCAAGATCAGATAAACAATTTAAATAGACCTGTAACCTCTAGTGAAATAAAAGCAGTCATTGTAGCTAGAGTTTTCCTGCCTTGCCCACAGTCAGGACAAATCTCTATCACCCGCCAGTCCCACAGCCGTCAGACCCAACCAAGTAAACACAGAGACTTACATTGCTTACAAACTGTATGGCCGTGGCAGGCTTCTTGCTAACTGTTCTTATAGCTTAAATTAATCCATTTCCACAAATCTATACCCTGCCACACGACTCGTGGCTTGCCGGAGTCTTCACATGCTGCTTGTCCTGGCGGCGGCTGGCAGTGACTCCCTTTCCCTTCCTGTTCCCTGAATTCTCCTCTCTGTTAGTCCCAACTATACTTCCTGCCTGGCCACTGGCCAATCCATGTTCTATTTATTGACCAATCAGAGCAACAGATTTGACATACAGACCATCCCACAGCAAGTCATTAAAAGTCTATCAATAAAATTTTTTTTAAAAACCCAAGGTTTTTATTTTTTATTTGTTTTAACACAAAAATCTACCAAACTTACAGAGAAAAGTTAAAGCCAATATTCCTCAAATTATTCCACAAAACAAAAATAGAAGGAAGTTGCCTGATTCACTTTAAGAGGACACAGTTATCCTGATACCTAAACCACATAAAGACTCAACAAAGAATTACAGACCACGCCGGGCAGCAGTAGTGCATACCTTTAATCCCAGCACTTGGGAAGCAGAGCCAGGTGGATCTCTGTGAGTTCAAGTCCAGCCTAGTCTACAGAGCAAGATCCAGTATAAGCATCAAAACTACACAAAGACTCTGTCTCGAAAACCAAAAAAAGAAAGGAAGGAAGGAAGGAAGGAAGGAAGGAAGGAAGGAAGGAAGGAAGGAAGGAAGGAAGGAAGGCAGAATTACAGACCAATTTCCCTTATGAACACAGATGTAAAAATTCTCAACAAAATACTTGCAAACTGAATCCA